GCAAAAACCGCGATAGAGTGAAGCCGTGGAAGTCAAAGTGCGAAGTGGCGAGGGTTCACTGTACCTAGTTCTTAGCTAAAGGAACGGGTTTTATTATTTTCCATCTAAATATTATAACAAATATTAAAAATTAGCTCAAACAGGCAGAGATGATAAATATTAGCATATAATGTATACCAGCAGAAGAATGTACATCGTCTTCTACCAAGTCAATTTCCATGCTCATTAACTCTCCAGAGGGAGGAATCACAGGTAAATCCACACTTTTTCCCACACGTGCAGCATGAAGCTCTTCTACTATCTGCATCTAAATCATAAAAGATTCAGAGTAAAATGTTTTAATTATTTATTGGAAATTAAAAAGAAAGAAATCACTTAAAATGAGCTGTGTCTGTAGAAAGAGAATCTTTTACAGCAATGTATAATTAGGATGGTAAAAGAAAATTGATTTATAAACATGTACATACATGATTTTAAAAAGTTCTCTTATTACCTCTGTGGCCTTAGGCTAACTATTTAACTAACTGTGATCTCTGTTCATCTGTAAAATAAAAATATTAAATATCTAGATCCTTTTTATATTTTGAGATGATTAATGAATAGGTTATGCAAATGACCTCAAATTGAGCCTCATCCTGGCAGACCTTCAAAATAAATTCATTCTCATTCCCTTTTTCAATTCAAAAGGCTTTAGGATTCAAAGTTTTAGAAATGTGAATCATTTCTAAATGTGTTTTCTTGAGAATTCTAATAAGGTTTAGAAACCTCAGAAACTGAGAACTAAATCTTCAGATGCTTTTAACTTCAGAAGAGTGATTCTATAGATGTGGAAAACTGAAACTCTTTATTTGTCCTATCAAAGGGCACTGACCCATAAGACAGAAAACGACAACTTCCTGTCACAAAGGAAGAATTACTATCATTTTAAAAACTCCGTTTTATATAAAGATAAGTAGTGTTCTATGAATCTAGTATATGTCCAGATGAGAAAGCACACTGAAAAATGAAACATGCTTTTACAAATGCACATACTTTATCTTATTGCTGACTACAGAAGTTAGGTCAAAAACGTATTATACTGTGTTTTAACAACTCCAGGCATATGCATACAAACTCATGATAAATTTAAATCACATTTTAGATAACTTGTTGGCCCAGAGGTTCCCTGCTCTCCATTTAAAACAACTTTTTAAACAAGTAAATTGAAATGGATTTGGAGACTTTAATAACAAGTTCATCCAAACAAATAAAACAGATGAATTTATTACAAACAATGGTAGAAAAGATGGCCAAATAAATTAGATGGCTCTTTAAAAACTTTATGTTCATTTTTCAAAAACCTGTTCTTTTCATTATCAAAATTTTTAATATTTTTATATTACAAATAGAAACCGCTTCATTAAAACTATCAGTAACCTCTTGGTCTGTATCTTGAACACTTTCTGGAGAAGCCGAAGAACATGGTGCATCAAGACTCTGAAATGAAAAATTATTTATTTAGTTAAGAATGAAGCAAGATTCTTAAACTCAGCACTAATGACATTTGGGGTCAAGTAATTCTTTGTCATGTAGGCTACCAAGGGCATTTCAGATGGTTACCAATATCCCTGGCCTCTATCCTATAGGTGTTATTAGCATGACCCCCATCCTCTCAGCCCCCACCCGCACCCCACAACTGAGAGCCGTGATAATGAAATGTCTCCAGACAATGCCAAATATCCCTCAAGTGGCAAATGTGCTTCTAAATGACAGCTAATCATCTAGAATAATAAAAAGCCTCATCTTTCTCCCTTGGAGTGGCTGGTATGAGCCCAAATCTTGGTTGTTTACCCACCCTGCTACCAGGGTACCTTTCTATTGTTATGCTGCCACCTTTTAAGAGTTCACCATTAAATACTAGGATTGAGCTAATGGGAATGGCAAAGGGATATTAGTAACAAAGGTCAGAATGGTTTTTATAGACTTAAGTGACTATTATTCCAAACTGAAAATCTGATTCTATTAGATTCCCTGATTATGTCTCAGTAGCTCTGCATCATCCACAGTCTACAAAATAAAGCACATATATTTCCCTTGAGATATATAAAATGGTCCACTGTCACAGTCTACAAAATAAAGCACATATATTTCCCTTGAGATATATAAAATGGTCCACTGTCTGGACCCTGCCTATCTCTCCAAAATCTTCCCTTATAGATTCTCTACAGATGTCAACTCGTCAGGCTGAACAATTTAAGTGCCCAGCACAGCCACACACAACCTTCCATACCACCGTGTCATTCCACACACTGGCACATGTATTCCTCATTCTGCATGACCTTTAAGACTAAATATCTCTAACTCGGCAAATCCTTCTGAACTTAACCGCTCATATTACCACCACAAACAATTCTTAGGAATCTAGTATTTATTTATTCACAATATTTCAAAAATAGCTGTTCACTTATCAGATTCCTTGGGAACTTCCCCAGGTCATTTTATTCCTCTCTGAATCCCTGGTACTTAAGAAAAGTACAAGGTTTTAAAACTCCAGAAACAAAAGAGTGTATTTCTCTTTACAAAAGCATAACCACAATACTATCTAACAGGATTACTAAATCAGGAAAATACAATCATTTCTGCTATCAGGATAATAATTGTCTAATGAGGGGCTAGTGAAACAACAACAAACATGGTGTTCAGACAGTCCCCAAAATAAGGATAACATTTACTTACTGTTTTTATGTCGAAATTATTTGAGATCAAGTATAGTTCCCATCAAAGGAAAAGTTAAAAAGTGTTTTAAGTTCAATAACTTGATAAGCAGTCATGCAAAAAATTATTTCCCCTATAACTTAATATTGGGGCTATGTGCCTCTCTTGATTTGTGCAGTGATTAATTCTACATCGCCTAGTGGTTAAGAGGTCAAAAAGAAACCCTAAAATGCATGAGAAATTTCTCAAGTTCTAAACAGGGTAAGGGGAGAACCAAGCAATGATACAATAACTATGACTGAACATTCTGGCAACATCTAGTTTATTTCTTCTGTTCGAATCTCTCAAATTGGTTATAATACCTGAAAGAAAAACTAGAGGTCTTTTCATCTTTGAAAGATGTAACAAGAATGAACTCAATACGTTACCCCGTCACATCCCTCCAAGTTCATTTGAACTAAAGGCATTTTTCTCTCACACTTTCAACTCTTCTGGCCTCTCAAGTTATGCTCCCTCCATTTGTCCTAAGAATTATCTTAATTGTACAATCTACAGTCTCAATACCTAAAAACAGGTGGGATCAGTCACTCCTGTGTATATGACACTATTTCGAAGTTTCAGAAGTTCTGAAGTCCTAAAGTTCTAAATATTCATCCTTTTAAATTTATTTGCCAAAGAAACTATGTTAGAAAGACTAGGTCATCAGCTCAATCCATAAATGCTAATTTATTACATAATTCAGAAGCAAAATAAATGTACCAAATTGGTTACGCTTCGATTTCTGCACATGCAGTTTCCTCCACCTGAGCTATTCCTGCTTCTCTCATCCTACTCACTTGCCCTCACCTGACTGCGCGCTCCTCATTCTTTAGTTCTCAGACTACATGAAGGTGATGTTATCCGCTGTGAGTATACCTCACTGTGTGATAATGGACTGCTTATTTGTATCTCTCATCTGTGACTATTTGCTTATTTGTGTTTCTCTTCGGATTTATAGATATCTATGAAAACAAGTGTGCATGTGTACTTTATAAATCATATTATCACAGGCTCTGGAACTTAACAACACTCAATAAATAATGTGCTAAAAATATATGTTCAGAATACTCAACCTGACAGTTTCCTAGACCAGGACTGGGGAAGAGCCTAAAAGATTGTTAAAACTACTTTTCAAAGAAATACCAGCAACTCTTTATTCTCACAGTTTCACATGTTCGTTTTTATTACAGGTCCTTGAAGAGAGCGAGCATGTCTTAAGACAACTAGGTTTTAAAAGTGTAAAATAGGGAACCAACACATATCTTTATGGCTAAATTTGAATCGGGCCTCTACTATCATGGGTAATTGAAACAACTTAAGCCTGAAATACTGAACACTTTGCTAAAAGCTGCAACCCTCCTCTTCTACTACCGTACCTGGGGTAGATGGTCACTAGATCTTGAATCATTAGTTTCCTGATGCTGACGATGAGAGGGTCCTTTCCAATCAGGAGAAGTCTTATCTGCAGTATCTGAAAGTAAATCTTTAGTTGTGTGCCTTGTCAAAGATGACGACACCCGGGAGCTTCCTGGGTTTTCTTCCTTCTGGTTTGTCTTTGACTTGTCGGCAACTACACTGAACACGCTGTCTTCCACAAGTTTCTGAAGAGTGGCGCGAGATTTTATTGGGATTTTGAAACTGATCTTTCTTCTTCTGGGCTCAAGCACGTCCTCAATTACTTTGTTGGAATTATAATCCTGAGAAAATTCCTTTTTTTTGCATTTCTCCAAGACACAGCTTTCTGAACTGTCTCCGAAATTACTGTATCCTTCTTTCTTGAGTTCTTGGCTAAGTAAAGCAGTGTCTTTCTTTTCCGTTCCCTGACTTTTGACTCTAGGTGTCGCATCTTTTGTAATCTTAGGACTACCAAGGTTTTTAAGTTCAAGTTTATCCTGAACATTTTTAAACCTAGTGTTCTTAAGTTTAAAGTGTATGCATTTACTTATATTTGCTCTAGTTCCATTTGAAGCAGGGCTTTGTGAAGTAATCTGATTATCATTGGAGCATGATGTTTCTGGGAACTGAACAGGTCCTTGAGATGAACTGGTTCTTGATCTCTTTCTTAAAATATCAGATATTACACTGAATCTGTAAAACAGCAGAGAAACCTAGATTACATGACACATACACATAACGCTGCACTGTATTTTGCAGAGGACATGACACAACTGGACTGATATTAACTTCAGAAAAAGTAAATGGCTACGTTAAAAATAAGTGGAAACAAAGAGAAAACAAAACAACAACAAAAAACCAATGACAAAAAAGAGAAAAGCCTGTAAATAGTTCAAGTCTGTTTGTTGACCTTTGGATAGTGTTGTTCTGTTTTCTTTTGTTGCTTTGTTTTGCTTTGTCTTGTTTTGGTGCATATTACTGTCTCTACAGGTCTATCTAGGTAAGATAGGCAGGATAAACAATCTGGAGGAGAAAACAAGGGGACCAACGTTCTGGGGGGACATGGGAGAGGGGTAGGTGGGGGATAGGAAGTGGTGCTAACAAACCCAGGGACAAGGGAACAACAAGTGATCCAAAATCAGTGGCGAGGAGGGTGTAAGATGCCTGGTAGGCCTTGATCAGGAGCAATGTAACCGAGAGAAATTATTCAAACCCAAATGAAGGCTAAGCATGATGGTGGGACAGGAAGAAAGTAAAGGGAAATAAAGAACTAGGAGGCAAGGGTTGTTTACAGAGGTCTAAATGCAGGCATATACATAGGTATATATATTCATATATGAGGATAGGGAAATAGATCTATGTGCATATATTTATAGGTTTAGTATTAAGGTAGCAGATGGACATTGGGCCTCCACTCAAGTACTCCCTCAATGCAAGAACACTTTGTTCTATTAAACTGGCATTCCGTGATGCTCATCTTCCTGACAAGATTACTGAAGACAAAGCGGGTACATAAGCAAATGTGGTGAAGAAAGCTGATGGTGTCTGGCTATCAAAAGAAATAGCACCTGAAACCCTAAAGGCTTGAAGGTAAACAAGCAGCCATCTAGCTCAGAAGCAATAAAGCCCACATGGAAGAAGCACACCAGCCTGTGTGATCATGAGGTGTCAACAGGATCAGGTATCAGGCATCAAAGAACAAAAAAATCTTAATCATTGTAAATGAGGGGGAGTGCGATGTGCGGACGCAAAGCCCATTTGTAGGCAAGTGGACATCCCCCTACTAAAGGATCGCGGGAAGGAGACGAGCCAGCCAGGGTGCAGTGTGACAACGATGAAACATACACCTTTCCTCTAATTCTTTAATGCTTCCTCCTCCCCACTATCATGATCTCAATTCTACCTTACAAATCTGGCTAGACCAGAGGATGTATACTGGTACAGATAGGAACTGGAAATACAGGGAATCCAGGGCAGATGATCCCTTCAGGACCAGTGCTGAGAGTGGTGATACCGGGAGGGTGGAGGGAAGGCTGGGTAGAAAGTGGGAACCGATAGGCTGGGTAGAAAGGGGGAACCAATGCCAAAGATCTACATCTAACACCCTCCCTGGGGGATGGACAACAGAAAAGTGGGTGAAGGGAGACATCGGATAATGGCATGACATGACAAAATAATAATAATTTATAAATTATCAAGGGCTCATGAGGGAGGGGGGTGGGAAGGGAGGGGGCAAAATGAGGAGCTGATGCCAAGGGCTCAAGCAGAAAGCAAATGTTTTGAGAATGGTGGCAACAAATGTGCTTGACACAACAGATGGATGTATGGATTGTGATCAGCTGTACAAGCCGCCAACAACATGATTTTAAAAAAAATAAGTAGAAAAGATTACTCAACAAACAATTTTGAAATAAATGGTTAGTTATTTGGGACAAAAAAGAATTGATATACCCAAAAATTCCAAATGCATTCATTATGTGTCAATGACTATTATTGCTGCTACATTAGGCAGCACTAATAATATTAAGCCATGAAAAATCCGAAACAAAAAAGCTACCATCTGATTTCTTATGGAAGCACTTTTGCAAGTATAAGAGTACTATAATCACAAATCAGAGCAGCAATAGTACGTATGTGACTATTTACTTTAAAATTTCAGCCCAATGATTGGAAACAAATTGGGGTAGCAATTGTACATTCTACTTGACGTGACTGAAAATTTGGAATGATAGTATATATGTATTAAATCCCAGATAACAATAAAAAGAGTCAGCCTATAAAAAATACAATTTTAAAAAATGAGATATTTGATAGTTTACTAGCCTCCGTACATTATAAGCCCATCTAGTACTAAGACTCTTGAACAGAACTGAAAGTCAAAGAAAGAGAAAATAGACATACCATTATCTTCTATTGCACCAGCACATATTTTTTAAATAGCATTAAACACTGGCCACTAAAGCCCGACACCAAACCAATTGCCAATGATTTGAATCTCCATGTGTTACAGAGTAAACTGTTCTCCGGGATTTTCTTGGCTCTACAGAACTAAATCCTCAAGCTTTCCCTCTACAGCACTGGGTGAACTTGAACCACCAACCTCTGATTTAGTATCTGAGCTTAAACTGCTTGTACCATACAAAGGCATTCAATATGCAAGGGGTTACAAAACAGGCTCTCTCACTTGCTGCTGCTGGAAATGCAAAATTATATAACTGTTCCAGAAAGATGTGGTGATGTAAGTTAGGAGTCCTAAAAATGTTCATATTCTTTAACTTATCAGTAATTCCTTTATTAGAAATCTATGCCAAAGTTTAACAAACCAGAAACTTATCAAAATCATATAAAAAGAAATTCGGTACAGAATTATCTAAAACAGCAAAGACTCCAATACAAACTAATTTAAAGTTTAGTAAAAAACAAAGGAAACGATCAGGTATTCATAAAAGATGTGATGATGCGAAGAAAGCTGATGGTGCCCGGCTATCAAAAAGTATAGCGTCTGGGGTCTTAAAGGCTTGAAGGTAATCAAGCGGCCATCAAGCTCAGAAGCAACAAAGCCCACATGGAAGAAGCACACCAGCCTATGCAACCACGAGGTGTCGAAGGGATCAGGTATAAGGCATCATCAGAACAAAAAATCTTACCATAGTGAATGATGGGGGGAGTGCGGAGTGGAGATCCAAAGCCCATTAGTAGGCCACTGGAAATCCCCTTGCAGAGGGGTCTCAGGGAGGAGACGAGCCAGTCAGGGTGCGATGTAACAACGAGGAGAAATACAACTTTCCTCTAGTTCTTAAATGTTTCCTCCCCGCTCCCACTACCATGACTCGAATTCGACCTTGCAAGTCTGGCTAGACCAGAGGATATACACTGGTACAGATAGGAACTGAAAATCCAGGGAATCCAGGGCGGATGAGCCCTACAGGACCAGTGGTGTGAGTGGCGAAACAGGGAGGGTAAAGGGAGAATGAGTAGGAAAGAGGGAACTGATTACAAGGAACTGTGTGTGACCTCCTCCCTGGGGGACAGACAACCGAAAAGTGGGTGAAGGGAGATGTCGGGCAGGGCAAGATATGACAAAATACCCATTTATAAACTATCAAGGGCTCACGAGGGAGGGGGGAGCGGGGAGGGAGGGGGAAAAATGAGGACCTAATGACGGAGGTTTAAGTGGAGAGAAAATGTTTTTGAGAATGATGTACAAATGCGCTTTACACAATTGATGTGTGTATGGATTGCGATAACAGTTGTATGAGCCCGTAATAAAATGTTTAAAAAAAAAAAAAAAAAGATGTGATGATTAGGCCTATGCAGTTGGCTCCATTTCGTGATCTGATGCAATTATCCTTCCATGCATATTGTAAAGCCTAACCTCTTTGTATTAATGACTCAGAGTTGGTGTAGGGTATATTTTGAGCCATGGCCCCATGAGCATGACTCAAGTCAAACTCTTACAAGTCCCACCCATATTCAATATAGATCTGTGTGTCTGTCTGTCTAGAGAAGGATAGAGGAGAAACAGAGAGAGACAGAGAGGTCAATGTCCTGGTAAGGCTATGGACCCTACATCTTGCTTATTATTGGACCTCCAGCTCCTAGAACTTGAGCTAGGCGCATGTCATGGACCAACCTGTGACTTTAGAACTCACCAGCTTCCTCAGCCTTGCGAGCCAAAAGTCTTTTGGTCTGACTTGCAGTCACAGGAGTTTGGAGAAGCCTCGATCTGGCCTGACCCTTGACCAAAATATTTGGGATTTGCCACTTCCACAACTGTGAGCCACAAAATGAGTTCTATGTCCTTACATGGGATTCAGTAAGTTCATATAAAACGTCCATTATCTTTTCATCCCATTTCTCCAAGACCTTCTTGAAAACCTTGTGATGTGTTTGTCACTAGCTTTTCCTCCCTAAGACAATACGATGGCCATTTCTAATTATATCTACAAAATGTTTTTAACCCAAAGACTATATATTTCGATACTAAAGAGAAAGCAAGCTGTAAGTTTAAATAGGATCTTAAATATTCTCAGAGTATTTTCATATTCCTATTTTTTTTTGTTTTTCTAGCAAGGCTTTATTTATTTTTTGGATAATTTTATTAGGGGCTCATACAACTCTTATCACAATCCATACATACATCAATTGTGTAAAGTGCATTTGTACATTCATTGCCCTCATCATTCTCAAAACATTTCCTCTCCACTTAAGCCCCCAGCATTAGGTCCTCATTTTTCCCCTCCCTCCCGGCTCCCACCTCCCTCATGAGCCCTTGAGAATTTATAAATTATTATAAATTCTCCTTCACCCACTTTTCTGCTGTCCATCCCCCAGGGAGGAGGTCATATATAGTTCCTTGTAATCGGTTCCCTCTTTCCAACCCATTCTCCCTCTACCCTCCCAGTATATTCCTATTTTATATGGGCTTCGCAAAAAGCATAAATATGGCCACAACAATTTCAACAAAAAATCATATCAGTGTGAATGAGGGGAAGCGTGGAGTGGAGACCAAAAGCCCATCTGTAGACAACTGGATATTCCCTTACAGAAGGGACACACGAAGAGATGAGCCAGTCAGGGTGCAGTAAAACACCCATAAAACATGCGACTTTCCTCCAGTTCTTTAATGCTTCCTCCCACCCACTATCATGTCCCCAATTCTACCTTACAAATTTTAGCTTGACCAGGGCATG